TTATTATTAAGAATAGTAAATATCGTGATATTTTTATATAAACACTTTTTACTTCATTGTTTTTTACTTTATCATTTCTATATAAAATATTTTTATATTATTACGTTAATAATATAGAAAAGATATTATCTTGTTGTTATTTTCACGAAAACTTTTATTTTTTGTTCTTTTGTTTTCCTTTTCTTTCTTGCTTTTTTTTTTCCTTTTAGTGATTTTTTTTTTATTTTTTTATTTATTTTTTTTTTTTTTTTTGTAAAATTCCAACATGAAATTTTGTATAATTACGCTTTATGATATGGCAAGAAGTTTAGGATACTTAATTTGTGGAAATATTAACTTTAAAATGGTTTACAAAATTTTTGGAAAAGAGAGAGAGAGAGAGAGAAAGAGAGAGAGAGAGAGAGAGAGAGAGAGAGAAGGAATTTATTTTTGTGGATTCAAAAAAGAAGAAACAAAAAAAAATGACACAGATTCAAAAGAAAAATGTTACTTTGTCAATTCCATTGAAAAAGCTATCTCAATTTGTTAATCATTTACTTAGGTCTATTAGAAAAAAAAAAAAAATAAATAAAGTGTAGAGTAAATAAAGCCTAGAAGAAAATTAAAAAATGACGAATATATTAGCATCTAATTCCCGTCTAATCCGCGTCTAATCTACGTCATATTCATTTCGTATCTTTATAATTTGCGGACATTATTATTAATTATACGAAATTATGGCCGAGACCGGACAGACTATGTTACAGAAATTAAATAGGAACAAACTAAAGTTAGTGAAAAAAGAAAGAAAAATATATTAAAAAAAAGTATATTAAAATATATTAAAATATTTTTCAAATCGACGAATATTTTTTACGATTAATTTCCATTTGAAAATTTTTAATTCAAAGGAACATAAGATAATGTCATTTTAAAGGAACATGAGTTATGATTTAATGAAAAAAGAATATTTGTTATCTCTTTATGAAGATTATTATAACAAATAAGATAAGAGCTATTATAATTAAAATATAATAATTACGATATACGTTCGCATACGTATTTTTCTTTTTTTATTTTTTTCTTTCTATTTTTTTTTTTTATTCTTGCAAAAAAAAATTTGTCATCTTTTTAGAACGAACGTAATAAATTGCTTTATGAATTATTACATTTAATTATAATAATTACGATATACGTTCATCATACACGTATTTTCTTTTTTTTTTTCATTATTTTCTACTTTTTGGAATGCACGATGCAACTTCATTCTGATACGTAGACATGTTATTCTCTTTCATCGAAAACAGTTGAGATATTAAAAATATTTATGTTATTTATAGGAAAACCTGCATATTATTTTATATAGGAACATTTCTTTTTATCGTTTTGTAACGAACGAATATCATCATTTTAACGTGGTGTTATATAAAGTTTTATTATGCAGGGTCTGCTGTATATATTACACATATATATGTAAATATTGAAAAAATAAATATATTTATATATTATATATATATATATATATATAAAAGTTGTCCATTTTTAAAAATATATTTATCTCCAGCAAAATATAAAAATTGTGATTTTACCAACGTCTATAAGACATATTATAAAAAGTGATGCATAGATAAAACGTGTTTTTCATCGTAGGAAAAAGACGATTATAAATAAGTTAAATATAGTTCTAAGTTATTTTTATGTGTGAAACATTGCAAAAATCTTTTGCTTCTATTGCCATTTTATCGAAAGTAATAACGCAATTATGTAAAAGTTATATCCCAATCCATTATTATTGCAATATAACTAATACTTTTTCAAAACTAGTTACGTACTATTTTTTTTTTTATATTGTAATCTGTTAGACACAGTTTTTTTTCTTTTTTTTTTTTTTTTTTTTTGAAGTTCAAGGCACCTATGGACACGATGAAATATCGAAGGAAATGTTACAATGTGCAAAGATACTCGTTCGACTTGTATCGATATATCTTTACAACTTTTGTTCGATTTAAACTTCGATCGATTTCCATTGAAAAAAGCAAAAGAAAAAAAAAAAAAGGAGAAAATAAAAAGAATAAAACTGTTACAACTTTTAGTATCTTGGCAACGGCGTTTTACATTAAACGTATGCAATAAATATTACATCAGCCATGTAATATTTATTGCATATCAAAACATAACAATCGATAAAATATTTATTTATAAAATCGATAGAATAGATAATATTTGGCTTTATATCATTGAATATCAGACAAACCTGTATATTATGCTGAAATTACGAACATTTAAAAAAATTTCTTATCACCCCTTTTGCAGAATTAAAATCTGTTATGTCCGAGAAATTTTAATTAATTAAAATAACACTATTGTTTTCTTTAGATTGTTAATCGAATGTCGAACATTTAGAGAAATTCCAAATTTCATGGAAATATTTTTAATGGAAGAGAGATTGAAGTTTTTTGAAAGAAGAAGAAAAAGAAAAAAGGAAAAAGAAAAAAAAAACGAACGAAAAGAAAGAAAAAGAGAAATTTTGACGAACACAAAATTTCACATAGAAAATGTTTAACTTTCTATGTGATTTGTATCGATCATTATAGCGTATACATGATACGTTAGAAATTCTTTGTATCGTGCAATGATGAAGTAAGAAAAAAAAAAAATAAGAAAAAAAAAAAATATATATATATATTGAAAGAAACCAAACGAAATATCTAACAAGTATTTACGATGGTGAATGAGAAAAATCGATAGTTAAGCATAAGAAACATCAATTTGGATTTTATGTGCTACAAAAAGAGAAGCAATCGGAGTTAGTAGTCAATTTGTTTTACGGCTTAGGAGACAACAAAATGACGACGACGTCGAGACATCGTCTCGATCGGTCATCACGTGCGTGTCCAGTCCACTCGAGTTTATTCCCAATGCGACCTTGACCTTTCGCAAAAGTATCCTCCCATTTTGACCTTCGTGTGTTTGAACATAATTGCGAATGTGGGAGGATGATTTAGTCCGACTAGTTCGACGATTAATCGAGAATTCCGGCCTGTTTTTCTTTTACTCTTTTTTTTTTTTTTTCCTCTTTATTTCTTTTTCTTCTCTCTTCTTTCCTCGCTGATTTTACGAACGACTTTTTCCTCTTCTATTTTTTTTTTTTTTTTTTTTTTTTTTTTTTTTTTTTTTTTTAATAATTCTTACAATTAAGTAGAAACAGCCGAGCCAATTGGGAAAAATGAAAACGAGAATTGGCTCGTTCAATTTTTTCTTTTGTTTCTTTTCTTTTCCTTTTTTCTTTTCTTTTTTTTTTTTATTATTATTATTGTCATTATTATTATATAAAAAAAAAAGTAAAAAAGTGTTAACAGATTAACAAATGATATTTTACGAGATTGAATTGCAAAATGATGTGTAATATATATAAATATATATATATATAAATATATATATATGTGTGTGTGTGTGTGTGTGTGTGTGTGTGTTGCACAGTGATTATCGTTATTAAAAAGATTTTACGGAAAACGTTATCTATTTTTTTATTTCTTCAAATGATAATAAATATAAATACACGAGTATTGTATTGATATTAATTCAATCAAAAATGTGAACTTTAATTTGTACAATTTCATTTTATCTCTTTTAACGATGGTAAGAGTTAATGGAACATATTTTACGATATGTAAATTTACAATATTGAAATGCACAATCGATATTTACAGTTAATTATCGTTAATTGGGATTAACAAATTATTTCAAATATTATCTTTCGAAAGGGAAATATAATAAAATATTAAAATGCGTATATACTTCTTGTTAACATATTTTTTTTGACAAATGATCGTCAGGCCAAAAGAAGAAGAGGAAGAAAAAAAAATGGGGAAAAAAAAAGAAAAAAGAAAAAAAAAGAGGAAAAAGGAAAAAAAAAATGGTTAAGACGTTTTTCAATTTTGACAACGTCTATGGAAAGTCATCTGTTTAAATATTTATATACGAGCAGTCTCGAATTTTGAATATATATATTATTATCATCGATTAGAAATCTCTCGTCATCGTTTTCATTTTTTCTCTCCCGTTTATTTTTTTTTTTTTTTTTATATTTTTCTTTAGTTTATGTTTGTTTGTTCGAACGAGTCATTATCATTATCATCATCATCATCATCTATCTTTATTTTTATATATACACAATTATTGAGCTGTACTACTAGCCCTTTCACATTTTAGATATTAAATACATTGCTAATGCTTTCGCAATTATTTTGACGTGGAAATAATACGATAATTTACACATACTCACGTATATATATACATATATATATATATATATATATATATATATATATAAATATATATATTGGTATGTGCGTGTGCGTGTAGTCATAGACCAATTAATAATACGAAAATTAAAACCGACTTCACATAATTTTATCAAACGCGATTTGATAAATTAACGAGTAATTTATCAACGAGTTTTTAAAGAGAATTTTTTTTCTCCTCGGTCGAGGGGACATCACCATCTACGACATATATGGAATAATGACGAATATTTAATAATAATCATAATTTGTGAACATGTATTTTTGAAATATAATTCGTAATTTGTACGAAAATAAATTATAGAAAAGTAAACGCAATTATAGTTTTCTCATTTCCATAAATTTTCGAATATATATATATATATATATATATTTTTTTTTTTTCAAATAATAAGCTTAACTCGTTTTAATTTATAAATGAATATTATCTCGCTGAGAGATGTACGATTGGTTGAGGAAAAACAAAAAAGGCAAAGAGAAAAAGAATGAAAATTGTAAATGATAAATAATGAATTGATTTTTTTTTTTTTTTTTTTTTTTTAACATACTAACACAGTTTTTCAATTCAAAGTATTCTACACGATATACGATATGTTCAATAATTAAAATAAGATTTATTAAGGATTTTCCAAGATATTATATTAATTTATAATCAGAAAATTTTCTCGTGTTGATTATCAAAGACAGATATTGAAGGATTTTCTTTTGTGTTTATAGATAACCGAAAACGAAAATGTCATCGAAGGAGAGTAAGATGGACGAGCCGATCTCAAAAACGCTTGAACAAAATGGACGAAGCATTAAAAAAGAAGAAATGCAGCTCGAGGATATTAATGACAATAATAACGAGGTGAGATGTATATCTCATGTATATATATATATATATATAGATCTGCATTAATAAACATAAGTTTGTAAACGTTGTGCGTTGTAATGTAATATATTTGTTTACGATTATGTTTTTACGTACTTACATACAATAATGTACAAATTTTCGTGAAATAAATTAAATATAGTAAATTTAAATATATTATATTGTAATCGATAATTTCATGGAAAATTATCGTATAAAATACGAACAATTTTTAAACTGAATTAAATGTAACAAAAAAAAAAAAAAAAAAAAAAAAGAAATAATAATAAAAAAAAAAGAAACATTTCTAAGCTGAATTAAAGCTCTCGAAATAAGAAGAATCATGAATATATATTTATCGTCAATAATAATCGAACGTAGATAGATAGATAGAGAGAGAGAGAGAGAGAGAGAAAAGAAAAAAGAAAAAAATATTACGAATATTTATTTTTTACTTTCTCTTTCTTTTTTTTCTTTCTTCTTCTTCTTCTTCTTCTTTTTTTCTTTTTCTCTTACTTTGGATTCGTCGATAAACGAAACGAAGCAAATAATTTTTCTTCTGGATGAGTGAATTTTTTTTCTGAGAGGTCGCGGGTGGGGGGAGGAGGGTCGGAAGACCCAATCGTACATTTGTTTTTCTTTCTTCTTCTTCTTCTTCTTTTTCTCTTTTCTTCTACATCGATGATTGCAAATATTTTCATTTTGCATTGGAAATCTTAAAGACCTGTCCCGAACGATCGAATTTGTAATCGCAACGAGGCCCGAGGCGATATCGTTATATATAGATAAGTAATACCGCGTTGGATAAGTTGATAACAAAATTGAGTTCTCCTAACGATGACCTTGACCATAACGTTTTACGAATTTTCGTGGCGAGTGAGAAAAGAAGAAGAAAAAAGAAATAAAAAAAAAAGGAAAAAAAAAAAATAATAAAAAGATAAAAAAAGAAACGATAGACTCGTTAACGATCTTTTAGAGAAATTATACGAATGCCAATTTTTTTTTCTTTTTTTTCTTTTCCCTTCACTTTCGATAAAAAATAAATTACGAGGACGAACGCAAATATTCATATTAAAATGAAGAAGAAACTGAATGAATGAATGAATGAATGAATGAAAGAAAGAAAGAAAGAAGAAAATCTCACGACGAAAAGAAAATAACATAAGTTGCGAAGTTTAGGAAAAATTCGAAAAAAAAAAGAAAAAGAAATGGGAAAAACGGAAAAAAGAGAAAAAGAAAAAGAATACGACGAGAAGAGAGGAAAAAGAAAAAGGAAAGAAATGAACGAGTAAAGATACGATAAGAATTTCAACCCTTTTACATTTTCGAACTTTTAATTTTAATAAATAAATAAATAAAAAAGCATAAGAAAAATAAATAAATAAATAGATAAATAAATAAATAAAAAGAGAAAAAAGAAAAAAACAAAAACAAAAAATTCATATGCCAACAGAGTATCGAGGTCGAAATGGTGGTACCACCGGACGGTGGATGGGGCTGGGTGATCGTTGCAGCATCCTTTCTCTGCAATCTATTCGTAGACGGTATTATTTTCAGTTTCGGAGTTTTCCTCAACGACATCACGGAGGCATTCAATGTGTCGCATGCTAGCGTAGCATTGGTTGGTTCCCTTCAAACAGGATTCTATTTAATGGCCGGTTCGTAAAAAAAAAAAAAATTTTTATTTTTAAATAATACATTTTATTGAACGTGACAAAAGTTTGAACTTCATTATATCGATTTCTATCGAATTTGAATTCAAGATATTCACTTTAATTCTATTAACGTATTATTTTTAATCGCTTTACAATCGCAATATCGTACGATCTTGACCAATATCATTTATTTTAATACTTATAATCTATGTATCTATGTATTTATGTATGTATGCATATATATGTATACATACGTCATCGATTCTTATTGATTTACCATACATGTTTACGATAGATTATGTTAATCGATTTCTCTTCTAATCCGGTATACATTTCAACGTTAAATAAAATGTTTATCTCATAGGACGTTAGAAGGATAAATGTGATTTTTAACAAGTTGTATAATTAACCAGTTTCCGAACGAGAATAATATGTCGATGATCGTTATTATTAGATTTTATTGTCGCATTTGAAAACAAATCGATTTCATAAGCAACTAAAATTTTCATTTATTAAAATAAAATTATTACGACTTTATTATCTAATGTATTTAATTAATATGTACAAAATGTATGATAATTAAAACATTTCTATCTTTCATTTGCATATATCTTACATTTATTAGGGATATTAAATAAATGATAAATGTATCAGTTTATTCAAGATAGCTTCGATAATTCTTTTTTTTTTTTTTTTTTTTTTTTTTTTTTTTTTTTTTTTTTTTTTTTATTGAAATAAAATCATTCGGAATCTATCTCCTTTCTTTTCTTTTTTTTCTTTATTTTTTTTTTATTTCTTTTTCCTTAAAGTGTAAAAAACAAAGACAATAGCAATAAATCACCTTTCCTTGATATACCTTTATTTTTCAAGAGAAAACAAATTTATTTGATCGATCCATTTAATCGATTTATTGCATTCATATCGATATCGCTTATATTCGTCCTTTTATTTTTTTTCTTTTTTTGTCCTTTTGATAACTCAAAAATGTATCATAATTTCTCTGTTAAAGCTAATTCGTAGAAGTAAAAAAACAAAAAAAAAACAAAAAAAAAAGAGGAAAGAAAAAAAAATGAAGAAAAAAAGAAAAACAAAACAAAACAAAACAAACATCTATCACCTTAGATTATTTCCAATTTTCAAAATGTTAAGCAAATATAATCGATAAATCAATTTTTTCTTCAGTGAAATTATATTACTGAACGAAGTTACGAAAAATTATATATATATATATATATATATACTATTTTATATATATGCACATATTTAATTGAAAGAATCATTTAATCGAACGATTTGATCGATTCAATACATTGATATCGATTATCAATTATATTTGTTCTTTTCTTTTTGTCTTTGTACTTGTTCAAAAATATATCGCAATTTCTTCGTTAAAATTAACTGATAAAGTAGAAGAAGATAAAATAAATAATAAATGAAATAAAATGAAATGAATGAAAACAGAAGCAAATAAAAAAAACAAAAAAAAAAAAAGATCTATCACTTAGATTATTTCCAATTTTCAAACGTAAAACAAATAAAAATCGATAGATCAATTTTCGCTTCATTTTGACTTCTTTTTCCAAATGAAAAATTGTATTATCAAATGAATTAGAAAGAAAGAAATATACATATATATATATATATATATATATATATATATAAATAAAAAAAAAATAAACAAATCTTCGAACGTATTATTATTAATACTTTATCTTTTTTCTTTTTTCCATTTGCAGGACCATTCGTATCAGCTTTAGCGAACAGATATGGTTTTAGACTGGTAGCAATACTTGGTAGTATACTTAGCTGCCTAGCCTTCGTCCTTTCGTACTTTAGTGCGTCCATAGAGTTTCTTTATGTTTCCTACGGTGTCCTCGGTAAGTTATAGGTCTCTTATTGAAAAAGTTACATTTTGCATGAGCACTTTTCTACTGCTCCTCGAGGGAAACTTTTAATTCCTCTTTGGTTTATCGGATCTTTTATCAAAAAGGAAAATAAAGGAGTAATAGTAATATTAAAAAAAAAAAAAAAAAAAAAAAAAAAAGAATAAAAGAAAAGAAAAAAAAAGACAGAGAAAAAGAAAAAAGAAATAAAAGAAAGAGAAGAAGAAAAATAAAAATAAAATAATCTTTCCTTCGCAAGCTGCCTTCAACGATAAAACCTCTCTCTCTCTCTCTCTCTCGTCGTAAACGCCATTAAGGTAATGATGTAATCGTATTTAGATAAATCAAATGTACCTTTTTCTTTTCCTTTTTTTTCCGCCCCCCCCCCAACCGCCCCAATGCCTATCTTTAAAAGTACACAGCGATACACAAGTTCAACTTTTTGAAAAAAAGGGAAGAGGAAGAGGAAAAAAAGGAAAAGAAAGAGTTAGTCAAAGGAGTTGACCTTTAATTTTTCTAAGATCGTAAAGCTTTTAGATGGTTCTTATTTATAAAATTTCTCGCAATGGTATTCTCGTATAAATTCGATACGATTTACGTTTTCCTTTTTTCTTTTTTTTTCCTTTCCTCTTTTCTCTTTTTATTATTATTATTATTATTATTATTATTATTATTATTATTATTATTATTATTATTATTAATATTATTATTATATCCAATTGTTATAATTTATATTTTAGAATAACGTATCATAGAGATGGATTTGACTCAATTAAAAAAAAAAAAAAGAAAAAAAAAAAAAAAACGAAAATATTCTATTTACCATTGTATTTACATTTTCGTACAATTAATTAACTTTCGCAAGCGATATAAGTCCATTTTAAAATAGAAGAAGAGAAAAAGAATAAAACGAATAAAAGGAAAAGAAAGAAAGAAAAAGAAAAAGAACAAAAAAAAAAAAACGAGAAAAAAGAACCTTCAGCTTATCTTTGAGAGTATTTATAAAAGTGGAGACATAACGAAATCACTCGAGTTCGTAATCTTAAAAAGAAGTATGAAACGAGCTCATTAACATTTAACAATATTTTTAAATAGACATTAAGAAATATTATTATCGCATATATGCGATCTTTGTATCGCTTTATTAAAGAGAAAAAAAAAAAAGAAAAAAAAAGAGGAAAAAGAAAAAAGGAAAAAGAAGAAGACTTATTATTAACTATTTAACAAAAAAGTAAAAAAAAAGTAAAAAATTGATGTTTCCTCTTTTACGAAAGATCATTATTACGTTTAAATCATTACTTTGTTTGTTTGTTTGTTTGTTTGTTTGTTTATCTTTATTTATAAATAATCTACAGGTGGTATTGGAGTTGGTTTGATATACGTTCCTGCCGTTATAACAACCGGCTTTTACTTCGAAAGATGGCGAGCTTTGGCAACCGGTATCGCAGTGTGCGGCTCCGGAATCGGTGCCTTCTTGTTAGCACCGATTTCAGATTTACTTATAAAGTCCTACGGTTGGCGAGGTGCCCTCCTTTTTCAAGCAGGTAAATGAAATATAATACATACATACATATATTATATGTATATTATATATATATATTATATATATATATTATACATATATTATATATATAAATATATAATTTATATTTAATATTATATATAAGTAGGTATAAAAATATATATATATATATATATACAGACATGTAGATATGTAGATACATATACGATACGTACATATGTACATACGTGGAAAGATAAACGTCGTAATATCGAATAAATTTATTATGAAATGAAAAAAAAGATTCTCAAGGACTCATCTGATATATGTATTTTTAACGCAATATTTAATTATTTATATAAACTCTAAAATATCATACGTATCGATGATTTTAAGAAAGGGAGAATGAGAGAGAGAGAGAGAGAGAGAGAGAGAATGAATGAATGAATAAGCTGAAAGTAATAAATTTTTTCTTTTTTAACGACTTCACATTACTTATACGCTTGATAGAGGTCAAAATAAATCTTAATTTAAGGTATAGATATATCATTTTCTCTTTTCTCTAATTTTTCATTTCGTTCGAAATTTCGTAATTAATAAAGTTTATATAACAACTTTTATTGCCCTAAAATTATCAATGTCCTAAAGTCCATTCTAATAATCCGGTTAGGAATGCTGTTGAATTGCGCCATATTCGGTGCGATGTTTCGACCATTGAAACCAACGCGAATCAAGATAAAACCAACTCAGGAGAATGCTGTTATCGAGGCAAAAACAACGTTAATCGGTAAAGGTGTTTCGACGGCCTCATTACATTGTGTTCAACCAAACAGAAATGGATTTTTTGGTACCAACAACAACACCGAGTATCCAACAGCGGCACAGCTTATTGGCAGCAGTCCAAATATAGTAAAGTAATTAAAATGAAAATGATTCTTTTTTTCCTTTTCTTTTTTCATTTTCTTTTTCTTTTACTCATTCCAATTTAATTCAACGATTTCAAAATCGATGAATGGATCGGATCGATCGATCGATCACAAATTTTTATTTCAGTACGTCGAAGTCATTGCATTCGCTTCATAAGATACACGTGGAGCCGAGAAATTTGGAAAGAAAGTTGAATACGTCGGAGAAGAGACTATCGGCACCGATATATCCCGATCTCGATATCGATCACGAGGAGACCAAATCGATCGAGGAAGAGAACAATTTACTTGGCGGTGATATGGACAGACTTAATGGCAAAATACCGACGGTGAGATAACGAATGATCGATAATTATTTCGACGCTTATCATCGTCTAACATTTTTCTTTTTTTTTTCTTTTTTACACGGAATATCGTATTATCTATATTAATAACAAAATGAAAAATGACTATGACAAGGATACGCGTGTGTGTCGGTAATTATGAAAATGAATTTTGTAAAAAAAAAAAAGAAAAAAAAAGAAATAGTTACGACTTCGGATAATTTATTTGATTATATATATATATATATATATATATATATATATATATATATAAATTTATTTTCTTTTGTTTTATATACATAAATTTTATCTTGTGATATAGAAATTTTGAAAAAAAAAAGAAAAAATAGAAAAAGAAATAAATACTTGTTGTTCGTTAATTCAAGTGGACAACTATCGAAAATGATTTTAACAGATACGCAGACATACGATCAGTGGTCGCAGACTTCGTGCAGACTCGGATTGCAGCCAGAAATCTTTTAGAACGTGCAACAGGCGAAATACAACGAGCAAGGATCCCCAGAGACCATTCTACAGAGATGATATTTTTTATGGAGGATCTTTAAACAGATTAGCGCACTACAAGTCTCAGGTAAGTAAGGAATTAACGCGACAATTAGAGAAAATATATAAAGAATGGATATTATTTTTCTTTATTAAAAAAAAAAAAAAAAAAAAAAAAAAGAGAGAGAGAGAGAAAGAAGCAAACGAACAAATAAACGAAGGAAATTTTTCAATCGTTTGTTATTCATAAAAAAACAACAGAAACTTTCATTATATTTATCTCTTTAAGAATTTTATTTTACGTCTTTAACAAGTAGAAACATTTGCTATTCTTTTCTTTTCTTTTTTCTTTCATATTTTCTTCTTTTTTTCTTTTTTTTTTTTTGTACTTTTTTCTTTTTTTTTTTACATCCTTAAGATCAAATAACAAATAAAAAATTCCGTCAGATTTTTCTTACCATTAATTGTTTTAATTTCGTAATTTAAGAATAAAAATTCTTTTTTGCGAAACAAACGAGCACGAGGACAATAAATAAATAATTTTATTCGCAGCTATCCTCGGTTGGTTATCATATGTCTGTGACACGATTGCCAACGGCCACCGATGTCGAAGAGGAAAAAAGCGGTAGCTGTTATCTCTGTCCGGAGAGCGTGCGTCGAATTTTGACGACTATGCTCGATCTCAGCCTTTTAAAGAGCCCTTCCTTCCTGATCCTCGCCATTTCCGGTGGGCTCACAATGATGGGCTTTTATACACCTTTCATCTATCTTCCAGGTTTGTTCAATCGATCCTCAATGTTATGCGAACTCATATATATACATATATATATATATATATATATATATATATATATATATACACATATATATATAAATTAGATTTTAATATCGTTATCGAATAATTAAGATTGCAAATCATAATTGAAGAGAACAATTTCTTTAAATCCAATTATTTATCTCAATTGTTTTTTTTTTTTTTTTTTTTATTGTAACAATAATCGCAAAAATAATCTTATCTTTATTATAACACCTTTTTGCTCACGTTACAACTTACAGGGTGGTCGTTTAATAGATTATCCGAGATTAATATCTCGCGATTGATTGAAAAATATATTTAAAGATAACTTTTTAAAAATTTTTTTAATATTCACAAATATTTATTACAATTTTTAATATACATTTATTTTTATTTAGTTTTAATTGTCAAATAAATAATAAACCGATTGCTATATGCACGTACGTATGTATTGTATACAGATAATTTTTCTATATATGTATATATATATATGATTGATTGAAAAATATATTTAAAAATTGTTTAAGATTTTTTTATTATTCTTTTGAATATTTAAAGATATTTATCGAAATTTTTAATATCCATTTGTTTTTATTTAATTAAAGTTGTCAGAAAAGAATAAATCTATTTCTATATTTATGTATAATAATTGTCATATTTATTGTAAATAATTTTTTTTTTCTTTTATTTGTTTTAAGATCGTGCCAAAATGGCCGGAATTGAGGCTTCATCGGCTATGTTTCTCGTTTCTGTCGTTGGTATTGGAAATACCATAGGTCGTGTTGCATGTGGCCTAGCAGGTAGTATACCTGGCGTTGATGCTCTCGTTGTTAATAATATATTTATCAGCATTGGTGGATTATTAACCATGCTATCTGGATTATCATTGACCAAAGGATATCAATTCTTTTACGCCGTCTGTTTTGGTCTCAGTATATGTAAGTAAAAGAACATTAGATCATTAAAATATTTCGTCGTTCTCCTATCAAATTCCAAAGTCACTCGTTCTATTCGCACGATTATAAAAATTTGTTAAGATACGATGAAAAATAAAACGGGACAATTTTTTTCATTCTTATTTATCCTGTTTCTCTATGTATTTTTCATAATATAAAATCAAAATCATTTAACAATAACGCCACGATTTATAAGATGATTAACGCTAAAGAAAGAAAAAAGAAAAAGAAAAGAAAAAAGAACAAAAGAAAAAAGTAAATAAAAGTTATTTTTCTTTTCTTTCTTTTTTCCTTGAATTCTGACATTATTGAACAAAGTAAAAAAAATAGCGAAACACGCAAAAAAGAAATGATCGCCTTTTTTTTTATCTCTTGTAAAATTGAATTTTTTTTTTTTTTTTTTTTTTTTTTTTTTTTTTTTTATGAGAGGACAAATCAGAATGCAATATTTTGAAAAAAAAGGAAGAAGGATGGGAGTATTGACCGTTGCTTTTGTATTGTTTCTTTTCGTTTTTAATCAACCATTTTTTTGTTTGTTTTCTCATTTCGTTTCTTTTTTTTCTTTTTTTTTTTCTTTTTTTTTTTTTTTTACTTTCATAGCCGTGTTCGCATCGCTGAGATCGATTCTCGTGGTAGATCTTCTAGGGCTAGAGAAGCTGACGAACGCATTTGGATTGCTCCTACTGTTTCAAGGCGTGGCAGCGGCCGTAGGCGCGCCTCTTGCAGGTGATTAGAAAATATCGATCGGCTTTCCTAACGAGATTTCTCGCTGGGTCCACGTTGATAAAACGAGAGTTCGATTAGAGAAATCTAAACTGATCGTCTTGAAATAATTACAATCGAATTAAATTAAATATTCGTAAAAAAAAATATATATATATATATATATATATATATATATATATTATGACATTAGAAAATTTATTACGAAATTAATTTTATTACCATTACGAGTTTTTTTTTTTTTATTGACTATTATGATGTAAAAAAGAACGATTAAGAGAGCTGAATGAAAAATTGTCATTTTTCAAATCCTCCTGGAAAAACTGCATATCAATGTAGGCTTTTCTTTTCCTTCTTTTTTCACTTTTATTTCTTTCAATGAAACAACGTTATTTTTGTTTCAATTTTATTTGTTTCAATGACACAACGTTATTTTTGTTTCAATTTTATTTGCTTCAATGAAACAACGTTATTTTTGAAAACGTTATATTTAAAATTTAAAGAGAAAAATAAGAACGAGTTGAAATTAATTTCAGATAAAAAGAGATCGACGCGTTTTCTATTCTATTATTTATAATTTAATAATGTTAGAATATATGGTAAAAAATAGAGGCGGTGGGTGGGAGGGGTAGGATAAGAAAAAAAGAACAAAGAAAAAAGAAAAAAATTTCTTCTAAATCTTCCCTTTTAATTCTTCAAACAGGAGCATTTAAGGATGCAACGGGTAGTTACGATGCTTCATTCTATCTTTCTGGTAGTTTAATCTTCCTTTCGGCTGCGATCTGTTATCCTTTGAAGAGGGTCAATCAATGGGAGAAGCGCAGAAACGAAAATAAGGGCAGTGATGACTCGTTAAAATCCTGATCGAAAGTGAAAGTACGGACTTCGTATGTTATATGTGTGTGTGTGTGTGTATGCGTATGTATATATATATATATATATGCATATATACAGTAAACTTATACAGTAGAACCTTCATTATCGAAACAACGTTCTTTTGTATGGAACGTTAATTTTTTCTTTGTTTAAAAAAAAAAAAAGAAAAAAAAGAAAAAGAAAAGCGAAGAAAAATTTTGGACGTTCCAATTAATCGACAATCCAAAATTAATTCCTTCTTTCTTTCTCTTTTTTTTTTTTGCTTTTCTTTATATATATATATGTATATATATATATAATTCTATATATATAAAGTAAATATATATTATATATATATAAAAGACAAAAAAAAATATATATATATATATATAGATATGTAATTTGTATTTATAATAATACAACATATTTTCGAGAATATGAAAATCATATTATTCGACAATCGTAATACAACGAAGATATTAAATATATATTGTATATGTAATGTTTAATATATTAATTAATAATACGTAATAATATAATATTGATATGTATATTATTATTATTATTATTATTATTATTATTATTATTATTATTAAAGATTTATACAGTGTTACGGCGTGTCGAATAATTTTATTTTCGCAAAGTTCTTTGATTTTTTTTCGAAGGACCTAAATGCATTTCGGAATAGAACGAAATGTATACCTTCTCGAGCATTTATTGTTGAAAGATTGAGTTCGTTGAAAGATTTATATAATTGTAGAATAATATATATATATATATATACATATATGTATATATTATTATTATTATTATTATTATTAAGATATTTATGTACCTAAATACTTGCTGCGTAAGCTCGATGTCGCAATATAATTAATGTACATAAATTCATAACTCGTTTAACAACGTCGTTTTCCGCCGTTTATCTTTCTCTTACAACTAAGAGATTATTTTATATTAGCTCGGTTATTATTAATTAGGGCATATGTACTTGTTTCATTGTACATAGATACAATTAACAAACGAGTAAAATTCTCACGTTACCTTGTTATACTCTTATCCCATTATTTTAATACATATACACTATATACATATACATATGCATACACACGCACACACAACATGCACACACACACATATATATATATATATATGTATACACATATATACAAAAGTTAAATCATTTTTTTCTTTACGGATTATATTATACCAAATGTTTCATTTACATTTTAACGATTAGACGTTCTCATTATTATGCAATATAATATTATATAAATTACATTGCAATCAGATTTAACTTGTATTATATATAAATTTATATATATATATATATATATATATATATATATATATATATGCATATATGTTCTTTTTTTTTTTTTTTTAGATTCGTAGAGAATAGAACCATAGAACCGAGATTGTAATTTTTAATGTTCCTAAACGTGTAATAAACGTTCGCTATCGCATTTTAATGATCGAAGCTGATCCTACGATTCTGTTTATTTGTAAACATAAATAATAATTTTGCCATTATAATATTATTATTATTATTATTATTATTATTATTATTATTATTATTATTATTATTATTATTATTATTATTATTATTATTATTAATTATTATTATTATTATTGTTATTATTATGCTCGAAATGATATCGAATTTATCTTTTTTCTTTTTTTTTTTTTTTCTTTGCGTTATACAATTTTTTTTTTAAAGTACATATTTAAAAAATACGACTCGAAAAGGAGGCACTGTCACTATCGGGCATTAAAGTATATAAATGTTCGTTCGCAAACATGTTCTATGAAAAATATTTCTTCGAGAACGAATAGAATCGATTGGATCAATAAATATTACATGTAAATGATGTGCAGTAAATTTAAAAGATATCAATGTTATAATATACCCGCCTTGTCGATTTATCTACGCGTAATTACTTGATACGTGACGGCCGCACCCAATCGAGAGAAAGAGTGGAAGAGTGGAAGAGTGGATGAAGGAAAAAAGGAGAACAAAAAAAAAAGAAAAAGGAAAAAAAAAAGAAGTAATAACAGATAATAATATAAAAGAAATGAAAAAGAGAAAAAAACAAAAAAGAAGAAAAAAAAAAACAGAAATATATAATTATACATACCGATCTTATACACATCGCGTATCGACATAGTAAAGCATCTGATTATAAATTATTTATTACCAATTTCTTATTATTGCTTTTATCAATTTTCTTTTTTGATTTCGTACACTGCAAAACGTACGCGTTTTCTCACTCCAATATATGCGCTGCTTTATATATATATATATATATATATATAGAAAATACGCATGTTTCTATCGGGTGGAAAATATTTTTATAATGGAGAGATTATTTTTCTTTTTTCTTTTCTTTTTCTCCTTTTTATTTGTATTATTGAAAAAAATTTGTTTATTGTATATATATATATATATATATCACTCTTCTTTCTCTATCACTTTCTCTCTCTCTCTCTCTCTCCCTCTCTCTCTCCTTCTCTCTCTCTCTCTCTCTCTCTACCTATTTCTTTATATCATATTATATATATATATATTATTGTTAGAAATATATTAAATATATTACGTAATTACTTGCCTCTTATATCATTTCAAAAATGTTCACATTGTTAATTTATAAGATTTTTGATTATCGTTAAATATAAATTCAACATAATCAATTGGTATTTAATGTCGTCGTAATTTAAAACGACCTTGTAGAATTTCAAATGGAATTGAATAAATGAAATTGAAATGTGTATAAGAAGATACAACGATGATATGTAAATATTTAGATACGTGGATACTTTTCGAATTCTGACTTTTTATGAACTCGAGCAAGCGTTCGTGTTCGAGAGGAAGAGAACGATAGAAAGGAAATAAAAAAAAAAAAAAAAAAAAAAAAGAGAAAAAAAAAGAAAAAAAGGAAAGAAAGAAGAAAGAAGGAAGAGAAAAAAAAATTGAAAATAAAAATGAAAAAAATAAAAATGAAAAAAGAAGGGAAGAAAAAATGAAAGATAATGGAAACGATAATTATCGGATCATTGAGAGAGATGATTTATGAGCTTATCGGTTAACTTTTAAAAAGGGGAAAGGTCATTATGGGGTGGTTAAGAAGGTCTCTCAAGTCTTATCTTTCTCTCTCTCTCTCTCTCTCTCTCTCTCTCTCTCTCTCATTTTCTTTTACTACCCCACTTTTTCTTTCTCCTTTTCTTTTCATCACCCCGTTATGCAGTATAAGAAGCATAAATAATTTAGTTTCCTTAAACATGGCCCAACTCGGGGAATCTCTTTTCGAATTTTTTTTTCCCTCTTTTTTCTTTTTCCCCTCTTCTTGTCCTCACCCTCCCCCCGCGCCCCTCCTCACATCCCTTGAGAATGGCCGCAAACGAACGTGGCCTCAAAGCGAGCTAGAACGATTCCAAGGTCCGTTTAATTGAACATACCTAATCCTACCCAGACCCCTCTTTCTTCTTCCCTTTTGCCTACGAATGAAATGAGAATGACGACGGTTATTGTCCCTTTTTCAAATGATATCTTTCAAGAACGTTACGAAGTCCTTTATTTTTCTCATTTTTATTTTTTTTATTTTTTTTCCCTTCCTTTCTTTTTTCTTTTTTTTTTTTTTTACTTCTTATACTTCCCTTTCGTAGTTGATAATGCAATTATGAAAATATAAAGGACGTAGATCTTTCTTTCGTTTCGAATAAATTAATTTTCTTTCTTTTTTTCGTTTATCCGCCGTACACAATTACTTGTTTTCGTAATACCTTTCTCTCTCTCTCTCTCTCTCTCTCTCTCTCTCTTCTTTTTTCTTCGTTTATTTGATATTTAAGTAAAAAAGAGAAAGAGAAAAGAGAGAGAGAGGGGAGGCAGTCTCTGACCAATAGATAGATCTTTCTTTTTATAATGAGATCGATAAATCGAATTAAGTATCAAATCCTAAGTTATTTATTTGTACGAATGTGAAAGAGATCTTCATTTACACGTTACTGGACTACTGCAGTAGTTTGTTTTCGAAATTACAATGGACGGTCTACATTGAACACAATTTCACGTTCCAATATTGGTCCTCCATTCATTGTTTGTCTCTATCTCTGTCTCTATCTCTCTCCCTCCCTCCCTCTCTTTCTCTCTCTCTCTCTCTCTATATATATATATATATGTGTGTGTGTGTGTGAGATTAGAAAAATATAGATAGAAAAAGAGATACATATTTTTTATTCGATGAACGTTGAATACGAAGAACAGATTCCAAATGTTGAGTAGTCTTTTCAAAATTATTCGAAAAGAAAAAAAAAAAAGAAAAGGAAAAAATTCTACCCTTTTCTAAAAGAAAAAAGAATGAAAAATTTTGTTTAAAAAGAAAAGCAAAAGAAAGGAAGAAGAATGAATACCGAACTGTTGTCCGTTGTCTTTTTTTTTTTTTTGGTTTTAACGCGCATTTGAAAAAAGAGAAAAATGAAAATGTGAAGAAAAAGAGATAGAAAAAAAAGACAAAAAAATAAAGATAGAAAGAGTGAGGGGGGGGGAGAAATGAAGGGAAGAAGAATCGAAAAAAGAAGAAAAGGAAAAGAAAGAAAGAAAGAAAGGAAGGAAGGAAGGAAGGAAGGAAGGAGGGAAGGGGAAGAAAAAAATTTCCGGTCTGAAACAAATGCGGCTGAAACGATGATGAATTTAAAACAATAGCGTGAAATAGACTGTTCCGTTCATTCTTTTTTCTTCTTCTTTTTTTTCTTTTTTTGTTCTTTCTTTCTTTCTATCTTTCTATCTTTCTATCTTTCTTTCTTAATACTAGAAGAACAAAGAGAAAGAGATCAAAAAGACAGACAGATAGACAGACAGATAGATAGACAGACAGACAGACAAATAGACGGATAGACAGATTGAGAGATAGATAGATCGACGGACAGACAGAAAGGAAGACAGGAAGACAGACAGACAGACAGACAGACAGACAGACAGACAGACAGACAAACAGACAAACAGATGTATACATTGAAGACTTGAAAGATCAAGGAGTAGGTACATACACAGAAGGGTTGACACAAAATAGATAGAAAGTTGGCGCTTTCAAAGGTACACCACATAACCGGGCATTCTGCCACCGACTGCAGATACATTGCGACATAGAGCCGGGGCTTATAGTGTAGGGGAGTTGGTTCTACTACGAGGAGGGGTGACTAGGGACTC